TAACTCTAACCCCTACATGCCTCTTTATTTAATAATCTTTTTTATCGCTCTTTGTTGGTTGCTTCTCTCATTTCTTGAGCACTCAGCTTGACATCGTCCTGAGACAACGCCTTAGGGTCCTAACTCTCAAGTTGATGCTCTAACATCCATTCCATACAATAAAGTCGAGTCATAAGAGATATTAATTCTCTTTCACTTGGTCACTCGGGTGGGGTAATCCTGAGTTAGCTTTCTTTAGGGTTCCGACTCTTTCGCTACTCTAACCACCAAGTCTCATAGTGCTCGAGTTGTAAGAAGCTCCCTTCTTCCCTCTTTCTCCTTCTTATCGCTTTAATTATCCTATCCCGAACATTAGAGCCACTCACAAAGGCCACTAGAGAAGAGCACTTTCAAATGAATTGCATTAGCAGTTTCCAAGAAAGGGAGAGGTGAAGTGTTGAGTTTTGAGAGGGGTCCGTGTCCAAACCGTGCTACTGAACAGCTGGAGGGCTTTCGTTTATTGATCTAAGAGGCTAAGAGCCCGGACTTATCCCACGAACTCAAACCATGGTGAGGTAGGTGCTCTAGTCTATCTCTTTATCGCATTAAAATCCTCTCACAGTTGGACATACCTATTTGTAAAGCGACACACGAACCATGCAAGCGACCCATCCAAGGTCATGTGGTTGTTCGAGATGGGGTCTATCCGACCCTGACCCTACCAACAGACGACCCCACTGGCGATAAGCTACCCTATACTTGGTACGAACCACTCTCAAACAAACATTTCATCTCTTTCTTTCTTAAAAATTGCTATGGAGTTCAACTGCTCCTCTCTTATCCGAATTGGGGATTTCATCATCCCCATATATGCGAATTTACCCATGGGAAGTAAGGTTTTTTAATCCACTACTCTTGTGTATCTCTTGAGTGGTCGCTTTTACCCTATCACCCTAACTCAAGCTAAGGGAAACTCGGGAAAGGGTACTCAAACCCCTTGTTCCCTCTATACTAGCATCAAAGGTTAGTCCATTGATGTCAATTGCATGAGTGGTCCTAAAACCACTGCCCTTCATGCTCACTATGTTACTGGTAGATACTCTACTAGTCATAAGCTCAAGAGTGGTTCTATCACCACTCCCCCTCTTCATATGGTTGGTTCTTCTAAGACTGCCACTTTAGTGGATAATCATAAAGTTACCCCATCTATATTCTACAGAAGCACTACTGGTACCAGTACGTTGCCTCACACATGTCATGTCTAGACCATCTTGCTCAAGTGGCTCCAAAGCCACTCAACACACACTCATGCATGTCATGGAAAATGGTTCAACCATTGCTATGATGAATCGGGGCAAGAAGAAGCTCACCCCTGTTCCCTCACCTACTTTGGGTCTCTTGGGACCTGGACCCATTAAGAATGGTACTCAAGCCACTAGTGCATTGCATAATATTCACCCAGCTTGGGACAATTTGAATGCTGCACCCAAAAGAGCACATGACCCACGACTCAGTCAAGGGTCACAAATAAATATACACATGCATGCAAGTGGCCTTAAGGCCATTCAAACTGTAAAGGTCGGCATTCCAATTACCAAACCTTTCACTTCACTAAGGGTTGGTTCCCAAGCCACCTCGAACACTTCTGTGGATTGTGCACACACGTGCAGATTCAATGTTGTCGTTGAGAATAAGGGGAAGGGTTAGTTATGCGCGCCCTCATCTACCCCGAAACCCATGACGACATGGTACTCGAAGAAATTCCCTTCGAGTACACTCATATCCACTCCCTCTTCTTCACATGCATGAGTTGGCCCTCGAGATTGGACCCGGGGCCAGGTGTGCCCCCAAGGCCAGTAAAACAATCCTTCCCTTCTTCAAGCAAAGCTAAACTCCCAAGATCAACTCCGAGCTCACTACTCTCAGGGCACCATTCACTGACTGAATTGATTGACTTCGCTCTGGTCTGCTTGACACAGGACAAACAGTTAGGGTGCCCTACCTAATTCTAGTTTTGGGAACGGATCTATTGGAGCCTGTGAATCAAGCAGCAGAACAACAAAAAGGTGTCACTCATAAGAAAGTAGTCAGAGTCTTCGATATATGAAGACTTTCTAAAGAAAAACCAATTTTATGTGTTGCAAACTGCAACGGAGCTAGAAGTAAGTGGCATCGTTCAATGTTTAGTTGTGCAAGTTAGAGGAGGCGAACCTAGTTCGTCAGAATCACGACCCCAAGGCCATCTCAAGCCCTCAACAGAAGGAGATATGGCCCCAGGGCCGTCATGAGCCAATCAAAATTGAGCCATGACCCCAAGGCCATCTTGTGCCACACCTGTCTGAATTACGGCCCCAAGGCTCAAGAGCCGGTGATCACACAAGCATTAAGGCAATCCCAGATCCAGTTGGGGCACTCTGAACCCTTATTCCCTGGATTGCCGAATCAGGGCACAAAAAGGACTAGGATTACCCCCATCATAGAATCAGTTGACTCTGAAGAGCGGGCTGATATAATGGTAGTCAGCCAGGATGGCGATGGTCCTAAATATCCAATGGTGCGTTTCGATGAAATCTTGAACAATGTACTGGACATGCTCAAGGATTATAGAATGCCCGGCTGATAGAGGTATCTTCACACCAAGAAGCAAATTCCCCTCTCAATATGCAATTTGAAGAGGAAGAGAGGAAGTCTTTGCCTCCCTCCATGCCTCAAGCTTCAAGGCCTCCAATTCCCTTGGCCTTTCCTGATGGCTGAACCAATATGGCCTCACAAATTATTCCCACGGTAGTGACCCATGAGGACATTCAAAACATGATCAATAGAAGCATCCAAGGTTTACAAATTTCAAAGCCCCAAGAAAATGTTCACTATAAGAAGCCTTATCCACCTTTTATTTATCAAATCCTTTTTCCTCTGGGTTACCAAAAAGGAAGATTTCCAATCTTTGACTGCACTGGCTCACATCAGCAACATGTGGCACACTCTGTGTCAGCATGTCAAGAGTCAGCTTCCGATCCTAGACTGCTCTTTCGAAAGTTTGTGGAAACTCTAGCCTGGCCTACCTTTCAAGTGGTATGCTTGTTTACCTCCGAGCTCTATTCATTCCTGGGAAGAAATGGAACATTTGTTCTATAAACGCTTTTATGAAGTGGAACAAGAAGTTCAAGCTATAGAGCTTCTCACCATGACTCAAGAAATGAATGAACCTGTAAATGAGTACATCTCGAGATGGAGGGATCTCGCAATGTATCAAAGCAACCCCATGCCAGAGATTGATGCGGTGAAAACATGCATCAGAAACATTAAGAAGGAAATCTCCTTTCATGTCGAAGCTTCTAATCCCACAACTTTCTCAGACATAATTTCAAAGGCGGTGAAAATCGAGTCTACTAAAACACCATGGTGGAACTCAAACTCAGACTTCTAGGGGATTTCACCAACACCAGACCTAACCCTCGCGCTGGTCCGCAGAGAAATACGATCAACACATCGGTTATGACCGCACCCATTCTCCCCAAACACCCAACTAATGTAACTCCTCTCAAGGCATTAGATACTTCTCGGGGAATAGTATCATTTAGAGGTCAAAGGGAACCCCAACATCAACAACTTCAACCTCTAGGTTATAACAGAGTACCTCCACCACAAAACATGTACATGTCTGACCAATATGAGCAAAGATAGAACAAGTAGAACATTTTCATAACTTCACCGCCAACTTTTCTTATCACAATTTCTTTTTTCTTTAGATTCTCTTAAAACTTATTCTGCTACTTTCTTGATATAGTCAGTCATCTCATTCCATATTACATCGACATCATGTTCATAGTTCTTTTTTTCTTCTTCAATTAATTTATTTTTAAATAAGTCTTTTTTGTCCTTTTTTTTTTAAAAAAATTCCACCACTAAGTGCTTGGACACCCATTACTTTCACCCCTTCTCTTCCATGTCTTTATGCATATGTCCATAACCACGAGCTTATGTTGAGCAGTCAAACTCAAACTCAAACTCTCTCCTGTGATAACCTTGCAGTCTTTACATGATAGTCAATTTACCTTCTTAACTAGGAAAAAGTTCATTTGGCTTTTATGTGATCCACTTTTATAGGTTATCAAATGTTCATCTCACTTTTTAAAGTAAGTGTTTGCTATTGCTAGGTCGGCCATAGCAAAATCTAGAATAGTCTCACCTATCTCATTTTTTTCTCGAAACCCATATCCCCCATTGTACCCCTTCATATCATCTACTATCCTTCCTTACATGGTCATCTAAGTACCTTTCAAAAAGATTCTTTTTCGATTGGGTGTGTCTTGGACTATTCCATCTATGTCCTCCTAAAATTGTCTCTTAATTGTATTATCTAACCTTACTTGTTGTGCATAAACACTAATTAAGATAATAATCTCTTGCCCTAATATAAGTTTAATTAAAAGGAGCCTATCACTTATTCTTTTGACATTAACTATTTTATCTTTTAAATCTTTCTCTATTATTATGCCTACGCAATTTATATTATTATTCTTTCATATATATCAAAGTTTATATCCATCTATTTCTTTAGCTTTTTATCCTTTCTATTTAGTTTCCTGTAAACAGACTATGTTTATTTTTATTCGTCTCATTGTAACCACCAACTCCCTACTCTTATATGTAAGCATTCATACATAGACTTAAAATTTATTAAGTCTAACTTACCACAAGGTAGTGACGGGTAATTTGAAAAAACAAATCGTTTCCATAAAATGTCAATTCCATCTAATTTGGTGGAATCGAGATTTTCAAAATTTAAGCTTAAAATGAGCATTGAGAGTTCCCACAAAAATCTCAATTCGAACAAAATGGTTAATTTTAGGTGAATCAAACACAATCTGAATCCAAAATAACTAAACGGGCCCTAAAGAAAGTCACGGATGGGAAAGCGGCGTAAAGTTTTTCGTAAGCTTTCGGCCAAACTAACCCAAAGGTCAGGAAAATCATGAATTTTCCCACCTTTTCACGGTTATCAAACGGCCCCGTCCTTTTGTTTATCGCCAGTGAAAAAATATCCCTCTGCCGTCGTAGGGGAAGGCTTTTTCATTTGAATCCCGGTGAAAACGCAGAGGACTCCAAAGAAGGCTTCGGAGAAACAATGGAGGAGAAACTACTGGTAACAATGGAGAAGGGCGCCCATTGCTCTTCTTGGAACTACTCTGGGCAAAGAATGGCCGTCGGATCAACTGATGGTACCCTCTCCATTTATGACTCTGATGATCCCACTTCTACCTCCTTCTCATGCACTTCTCAGTGGAAGGTATAACGATAAACTGAACCTCCCATCTCGAATTCACGTGATAATTGTCATCTGCAACATTCGCAGGCACACGTAGGTGTAATTTGTAAGATTGTCTGGGTTCCTCCTGAGTATGGTGATGGCATTGCTTGCATTAGTGGAGATGGAACACTTTCAGTGTGGGAGGAAGTTGAAGAAGGTCGATTTTTTTTTTCTGCAACTTCCCTTCTGGTGTATGTGTATTTTCCCCTCATACTAAGTACACGATTGCCTTCAAGATTGGTGCCAGAAACTGAGGATAGGAAGTCTCTCTATCTCTCTCTTCATGAATATTTATGTGATAGAAAGTACGCTTTCATGCTTCTGCATTCATCTATGTTGAAGGCTTCGCTCTTTCTTCCTGTTAAACTTCTTTCAACATATCTATCTTTTGGGCACCCTAGGACTATTAGTTTGAGATTTAAATAAAGGATGTCATGACTTATCTTCCTCCATATGAGTTTTAAATTCATACGGTTTAAGATATTTCTTAAATCTTTTGTTGTTTACCTGCCATAGATTCATCTGCTTCTCTATGCGTGCTTGCATTTATTAAGAAATGCTTGGTGAATTTGTTGCATGCTTGCTTGAGAGATTTTAAAGTATTAAGTATTATGTGCCTTTTCTCTCGTATCAATTTTTAAACTGCATATTCAGAAATTATGGTGGAAACGCATATCTTGGCCTCCACCATTCTATGAAATACTATGCTAGCCTGACCTTTCCTTTTGGATTTTTTTGTTTTGATCACTGTACTTATGTCCTGGAAGCAAATGTTTTAATTTCATTGGGTTTTCTATTATTTTTCCATCTGCAATGACATCATTGCGTTTCCATCCTTTTACCCTTATTTCTGCAATACCTAATGCATCAGTAGTTGGGAAACATTGATAAATAATTTGCACGCATTGGGCATTAGATTGTGCTGATGAATTTGCAAAATTTTAGTAAAAAGCTATGAGTTTTATCAGTATATGCCTGATCAACGTGTAGCAAGTACATTATAAGCAACCATTTGGGGACAATTAACATCTGTATTCTTCTTCATTTCAATGCTTAGATTTCTCTTGATTTGTTTTAGGCACACAACCTCTCACATGGAAATTGTGCAAACTTTTTGAGTTCCAAGAAATTCAAGCCCTGGATCTTCAATTTGGAAACTATCTAATGGGTTTGAAGTTGGTAATGCTTCTTATTACTGTTTTGGCTTTTGTTTGTAGATTCTGTGGCATGGTACATTCATATTTCATCATGGCCCTATGCTGTCTTAAGTATGTTCTCGTGTATTATGTGTACGAGTGCGATGATACCTAAGCTTTATTCAGTCTCTCTGGTTCATATATTTTTCTTTTATTCACATTCTTGGTTCACAACAGCAGAAAGAGTACATTGTCTAAGCTGGACATTCATATGTTGATTGATATATGATTTAACTCGTAGTTTTAAATTATTTTTTGTGGTTGTCACATATTGATCATACCTTTATTGAGGTTTGTTTCTCTTAGAAAATGGAGACCCATATATCTTTCCTTTAATATGATTAGAACCTATTACTTTTATCATTATCATGTAACACGATTTTTGCTCTCGTTCCTTCTATCACAAATAGATTATTCTTACTTTAAAATGATAGGTGCCTTGATACCAATGATTGGAAACTTAGTGAATTGGGCTGCTTGGCCTCACCCAATTACTTGGACCTGGTGTGATGTTGTCCATCAAAAACCTTGATATGGTGAGTCTCACCGGGTCATGAACCTTTTGTGTATTTCTCATCGAGACTTGGCCAAGTCAGACCACTGTCTTGGACGAGCCGACTGGTGACTCCTCCAAGTTGCATGCTGATTCCAAAACCTAGGGAGTCCCGACTTGAGTCCGAGTTGCCTGTTAGAATATATGTGTTTGATACTTATTTCTTTGATCTCACTTGAGACTCACTGAGATGATTCCCACCCCTAGCTCCTTTAAATAAGTGAATGATGTGACATGAACACATGGATTTGACCAACTAACTTAAGCCTAAGTTTGAAACATGTTGGGGAGCTGAAATGTATTTCTTTGTTTGGAACCTCTTTCTCTTGTCATTCTTCAAAGCAGAGAGCTCTCTATATAAGGTTAATTTGCGAAAGAAAGGCCTTGGATCTATCCACTTTACTGTGGTTATATTATCACTTGAAAAGAATTAATACTATAAGATTTGGACATTGAATCAGGTGTGAAGAAAAACAAAATGAAAAACCATCTAAGTTTCTTGTCAAGTCTTTTTTATAAAACTTTCTAGAATGGCAGCATGGCTGAGTGGTCCACATCTTCCCCACAAAATTCTTAAAATAAAATTACCCCTTACTCGCTGGTTGCTCCTCAAAATATTCATGTCTATCAAAACCTTTTATTTCATCATCTATCTTGAAGAAGGGAAATTCCGAGATGGGACCTTCCACACCTGGGCAACTAGCAATTCAAACTTTTGATGTATTGACATGCTTGCATGGCATAAATAGTTGTACTTTTGAAAGATGCTGTCTCCCACCAGTCAATCTAAAATGCTCCTATGAACAAGCTCCAATAAATGGAGAATGTGCCTCACTTTCTTCATTGCCCATCTCCCAAAGTATCACTATTAATTATGTTCCGAGCATTTTTAGGTTTTAGGTTTTGAAGATATTCCTCGACGCCAATGAGGCTGATCATTGACATTTATGTATTTGATGAGAATGACTTGCCGTAATACTGGTTGTGGACTATCAGGTTACCAAATAGCTGAATTTGTTTGCGGCCCTCAAGTTGGAGCTTGCTCTACCCTTTTACTTGTCTAACTGCTTCACTCAAGGATTTCCATGTCTCTTAACCATTTTCCTTACTTAAGAACTTCTCATTTAAATTTCCTCAATATGCGTCCAATTGCTTGGCATTGTATGATTCTAAATCTACTGAACATTTGTACGTGAAAAAGACCTATTAAAATTTTACATGGTCTCATCATTTTAATGGATATTTTTACTGAGAGTTCATTTTCCATTTTGATTTACCACGTGCACTTTATTCTTCCCTTGTCCTCTCTTGCAAATGCATGTGCATGAATGTCATGCACAAATGAATGTTCAGAAAAAAAAAAAAAAACCCAAAAATCATATTATATGCTAAAGAAATTAGCTTCTTAGGATTGAAAGGAGATTTTTCAATTTTTGGACATTCAGATCTAAGTGTTTAGAGACTCAAAATTTATCAATTTTCTTCTCAAAATACTCACCTGGTGATTCTAAAGTTGGTCCCAAAATTTTAAATAGAAAAAATACTTCTATGCATGTCTTTTATCCAAGGAAGTAATGATGCAAATATTCTCCAGTGGAAGCGCACTGTAAGTCTAAGAAGGTTGATGATATATGTGGTAGAAAGGTCGTGTGAGTAGAAGAAGCAACAACACCATATCTCTTTTTATGCATCACAAGTGAGAGTGAGCATGCGAGCAATATATATATATAAATGATGGCATAGGCCCACTAGCCTACAACTACATATGAGCCTAACGGCCCAGATTCAATCTGAGCAGATCTGACGGTCACGACCTCATTTTGTATTTGAATTTGAATTTGTTTTTTCTACAAATCCAAATCACATGAAATTTTAGACAATCTGTTCTTCTCATCAAGGCACACCTAATAAAAATATTAAAAAAATAATTTGTAAAATATAAGTTAACCAAAATATCCCTAAAATATTTTTAGGGTATTTTGGTCAATTTTGCACAAAATATTTATTTGGTATTTTTCTTGAATTCTTCTATTTATAAAGAACACACACCTAAAATTTCAAGTGATTTGTCTTTATTGAAAAACAATTAAAATTCAAATACGAAATGCAATCGTAATTATTGGATCGGCCCAGATTGAATCTAGGTCGTTGGGTTCATATGTAGCTGCAGGCTAGTTGGTCTACGCAATTAGTTCCCTATACATATATATATATATACATAAGGTTATTCTAGGATACAAACCTCTGAAGGTGAACCTAGAATTACCCACTCCAAAATATTCGATCATAAGATTCTATTATATATTCAAAACTCACTTTTGACTAGAATTAGTTCATGTATTTTATGAAGGGTACTTCTGGAGTTTTAAAGTCCCCTTTAAAAGTCCATTCCAAATTTGAAAAGTTTCTTTTGACTTTTTGAATCAGTTTGAACTTGAGAACTAATTTGAAATTACAAATATGCCCTTTCTTTTAATTTTCAAACAAGCTTTTGTTAATGTAATTTTTAGATTTTAAGGACATTTTATAGTAAAAAATTTTGGAGTAGGAAATTCTAAGATCAGCACAACAGTGTTGTGTCCTACAATAATCCACACACATATAGATATAGGCGCATATGGCATGCTCCCGCTGGAGAGTACTATACGACAACTCCCTCATACAAAGACTAACTTGGGAGGATTTTTTTTTGTCTTAAATTTTAGTATCCATCAAGTGTTTCAAAAAGCGCTAGGTGGTCTGGGTAGTCCAGGCCGCTCAGCGCTTAGGCGGGCGCCCAGAACCTGGGTGGCCTAGTAGAAAAAAAAGGACTCTATAGTATCTAACAATATAAGTATAATTGTATATTGTATATACTATAAGAATTAGGGATTTAGGACACATCAAAATTCAAAAGAATACTACATAACACATAGGAGCACACACTCCATAAGTATAACCATAAGTCCATATCCAATTATGAATTATGAATTATCCATAGTCAGATTGATAGTCCACAGTCCACAGTCCACAATCCACATTCCACACATAGACATAGTTAAAACTTAAAGTTTACCAACTAAATTACCAAACCAAAGTTACCAAATACCCATCCAGTGGAATTGCAAATCCACTATCCACAATACACAACCAAGAGGAGGAAAACAAAAATTAAAGAAATACTTGAACACTCAAAATAATCATCAATCAATGTTCAAAGTTTAATCATCATTCATCATTCATTATTCATCAATCATCATTCATCATCAGAAAAAGTAGGGTCTGCATTTGCATCAAATGCATCGGAGTCATTGCCATCGTCATTGTCATCACCCTCCTCGACATAATGGTCGTCCTCCTCTGTCTCTTTTGAATCTACCTCTTCTTCCTCCTCTTTCTCCACGCTCATCCTCTGTGCAGAAGATCTAGTTGCCCTAAGAGGGTTAGCTGATGTCCCTGAAGCATCCATGACTATGTCCCATGTCAATCTTTCATGCCCCTCGACCTGATCAACATCAACCAACCACTCCATAACATTGTCCATATTTTTTGATTTGAGGGGGCCTCTCTTATCTCTCTTAGCAAACCTGTTCTTCAATAATCGATTATACTTGACATAGACTAGATCATTGAGCCTCTTTGATTCAAGCCTGTTCCTTTTCTTTGTATGAATTTAACAAAATCAAATGAAATTAATCAATATAAATAATTAAAATAATTAAAATTATTAAATATATAATAGTAATACTACAAAACAATCAAAACTAATAACTACTAAAGTACTAAATTGCTAATGCAAATTACCTCACTCCTTCAAAAGTACTCCAATTTCGCTCAAAACCGGACGAGGAAGTAGTTACGTTTAAGATCTGCCAACTTTTGTAAATTTGGAGAACTACACCCATGTTGGCTCCAACAATTGGCTGTAAAGATATAGAATAAAATCATAAATAAATAATAGAATTATAAAAATGAAACTTGATAACTTGAACAGTTGAACTTGATGAACTTAAGAATATTATTACCTGGATCAATTTTTGTCCTTTGCCTCGTCGCCATTGGACTGCCAAAAGATTTTAATGAGTACTTGTAATTTATCAGCTCGTCAACACATATAATATCTTGGATATCTGGATCAGGGATTAGCACATCTACACACTTACTAAATCCAATCATAATTGTGTCATTTATGTGTATATCCCTATCAACATAAAAAAGTTGGGTTCAAATAATAACCAGTTGCATGCAATGGCCGAAGTAACTGCCTATCCCACTTCTCATCAATAATCTCTCCCAAACAGGCTTATAACGGTTCTCATCATCTTCTAAATTTTGGGCTATCTCTCTCTTGCATTTCTCCATAGCCTCATATATGTAGCCTATAAGGGCCTTGTCACTATCAACCATGTGAAAGACTTTGACAAGAGGAAAAAATACCTTAAGAGCGCCCTTCACCCCTCGCCAAAAATCCTTAGAAAGGATAATATCTCTCACCTTCTTCCCAACCCGATCCTTGGACCACTTGCATGCTCTCCATTCATCCGCGGTAAACATCTGCCTCAACTGTACTCTCCTCGATTGTATGCTATCTAGGCATAAGTACCAGGCCTCAAATCTCATGACCCCAGGCCTCACAAGCATTTTCTTCTTTGTAAATCTATGCATCATGCTGATGGTGAGAGTGTGACTATAAATGAAATTCGTAATTGACTTTGCCTTCTTCACTACACTTGATATCTCGGTTAAACCGCCAAGAGCCTCAAGCATGAGGTCCATATAATGTGCTGCACATGGTGTCCAAAAGATTCTAAGCTAAGGTATGCGCAACAAATTAGCAACAACAACATTAGAAGTAGCATTGTCTGTGACAACCTGTATAATAAGCTGCTTCCCTTCTCTATATCTTCGAATATGAGCATCATAGATATGATCAGAGGCATCAATAGACCTCAAAAAAACTGTCCCTAAAGGACAATTCATCAGCAAATTCATCTGACATCTTCTCTTCCTATCACTCCAAACATCAGTCATAATAGAAACTCCATATTGAGCCCATGCATCCTTCTTAACTTCAACAACATCCTTTGTACCACTCACTACTTTTTTTAAAAGAGGCTCTGCAAGCTCATATGGGGTTGGGGGTTTCATCTTAGGCCCAAATTGGCCAATTGCTTCTACCAAGGCGTAGAAGCTACTTAGGGGAGCAGTATTGAAAGGAATGCTCGCCTCATAAAACCATGTAGCAAATAAAAAGCATGTCTATCTCTCTTTTCCTTATTTATTCTATTTTCAATGGTGGTTTGCTTCTTTGTTTTTTCTTTTGCAACCTCAGGGTTAGGCCAGGGCAAAAAACAATCTATAGGGCCTCTAACCTGAGCCTTCTTAGGCACCGAACTCCTAGAAGCAATTACAACTCCCTTTTCCTTCCCCCTAATCATGGATTGTTCTACCTCTTGACATCCCTCCCTGTCCTCATCACTGTCATCGCCATCATAATTGACCTCGAATCCTAGACTTAATCTCTGCTATGGAGGCATATCTCTCATCTTTTTTTCATTTTTACAAGACTCATAAAATTGTTTATTTCCTCTTTAACAACATTAGGAGTTTTTTTACATGGGGCAACATTCGGCAAGATGTTTCTTGAACCGGTTTATGTCTCCTTGTATCCTTTTCACCAAACTTGCATCTTATGTAATTTTTATTAAAAGGATTTGGTTTGTAGCCATATTTTCAGCCCGGATCACCACTTTTATTAGATCTTGAAGAAGACATCTCAAGATAATACAACTTATACAAGCAATAAAAAAAAATCACTTACTTCGATTGCTCGATCTCCAAACTTTCACCTCAAAGATGCTTCTAAGGACTCAAAATCTTCGAAAAAACCTGCTAATAGATTTATTATACATCCAAAATTAAATCTAATATCAATGGGTGATGTTTTGATCAATTTTTCATATCTCTGAGAGACCCTTCAATCCTAAAGAAATCACCAAAAACTTGTTTTTAGGGGTTTTTCTCTCTCTAAAATGGGCTCTAATGGGTTGTAGGTTTCAAATAAACCTAAAACCCACAATTTGGTCCTACCGAATGGGTTTTCTGCCTCTGGGTAGAGCGCAGGCTCTGGGCTCCTGCCTAGGCGGGTCCTTGGGCACCTAGGGATTTCTGCCTTTTTCTGGCACCTAGGCCCGAGTGATGCGCCCAGGCCTTCTGGACCTCCTAGGCGCCCAGGTGCTGGGTGGTCTGCTGTTTGAATTACTGTATCCATCTAAGTGTCATCAGATGATTATTTTCAAGAAAAAAGTTATGTTATTTCTTGACCACCTAGATTTTACCCTTCGAAAATAGGATGGTTCTTGTTCAATCTTGGGACGTTATGTTTTTCGAGGCACATAGAGTCCTATTTAATTTTTCTTTTTCTGGTTGGTTATTAGGTTCTATAGGTTACATCCCCTATACTTGGGGTACAAATACTTCTCCTAACTTGAGTTTTACCTTGAGGGGAGTAAATGCATATTTGTGTGCATCACAATTAAGAAAGAGACCACATGCACAAAAAAGAGCAGGAAAAAAAAGAACACATAAGTCTTCCCCGGATTTACCCGAAGTGCCGATATGGGGACCCTTTCTGGCCAAAACCAAAGAAGCCGCTGAAGTTGACAACATTGCGAACAACCTCACTCCCAGAATGTATCCTTGACTTCCATCAAAATCCCAATTGAAATAATTTCAAGAGCATTTGCAGTTCATCTAATCACTGGAATCCAAGTTGCTCTATGTTAATACCACGTGACTTGGATTTCTGAATTTCATTTTCTGCTCGAATCCAGTCCAAAGTTACAAACTTGAAATCTTCTGTAGTCAACTTCTCTGCAAAAATTCAATAATTATTCCCATACTGTAATTATGTTGTCTACCCCCTTTCACTGCTTTAAAAACCATCAACCAAATCCCAACACAGCTGCCCTGCTTACTGAAAATGTGAAACCTGCACCCATAAGGGAAAATGAGGGCTTCCCATATGGCTAAAGTACTCTTCTTCTGACTTGTCATTTTCTTGTTTTGATGAGTCGTTTTGCTGACGTGCTAATCTAGATGGTAAATGCAGTCATTGGAATGCTTTTTGGAATTTATGAGCATTGTTGTGATGAAAAACCTGTCAATTCCAAAATGTACATTTAACCTTCCATGCAAAGGGACATGCACATTCTTCATATCTCACTTTACTAGCAGTCCTTCTCTTCAACTCTTTCAAGTGAACTTCGTGTACCAATACTACCCCTCCTTCCATTATTAGAGCCCTCTTGTGACCAATCAAAAAAATATTGAGTGGATATAGGATTGGTTGGAGTTATCTTAATGATGAAGCAACGATTTTATTCTGCTAAACTATTTTGTGGATGAGTATTATGAGATGATTGTGGGAAATCTTATGAATTTCAAGAAGAATCTCTAAAATTTTTTGAGAATTATTTCCCTTGGTTATTAGCTGGACTCTTTGAGGAGATAATACTTACGAGTAGGGAATGCCTGATCCTCTGCCTAATATTTTTCCAAAGTCTTTTTTGTTTATCCTTTTCTACTATCTTCTTAATGGATTTTTTTTTATACAGAAAGACATATGTATGTATATGTTGATATGATGCTCGATCTTGCATTGCTTTATTTGCACACTTGATATCCTGTAGTGGGTTTGGTTTACTTTCTCTTTCTCTGTGTATGTGTGGGTGCGAGCCAGCGTGAGTGCATGTGAGCGTGTCTTCATGGCATGCATGTGTGTGTGCATGCGTGGGAAGAAAAAAATTTATCGTTTCTAATACCTTTTTTTGGAACATCATCCTGTCCCATAGTTATCATGAAGTACTGTTTTGCATGTTAAATAGCTATACTACATTTCTATGAGTGTTATTAATCACAGCGCTTTTTATATTCAAGTTTGATGGTTGACACTATGTCACTGCAACTTTCTCAGGTTGTTGCATTTGCAGATGGTCATGTGAAAATATATGAATTACAAGACCCACTTGAACTAAAACGATGGCAGCTTCAGGTACATGTACATCAGTTTCAATGTCGGTTCTCTTTGGTCTTGTTCCCTATCAATTCACTTAGCTTGCCAATTTTCAAGCTGCATTTTTTTTGACAGCCTTGCGATGCTGGAAATCTTTTCTGCCTTATTGCATTATGATGCTTGAATTTGTTCCTTATTAAGAACATATGGTTGAAACTTCATTTCCTAGACAAGCATTTTGAGTTTTAGTGAGAAAGTAACATGGCAATGCCCTAGACTCTGGTATATTTAATGATTAGTTTTTGGATTGTCCTTTTGGCTCTTAAGGGCTAAAACGTCCATAAAGTGAAATACCTTTTTTTTTTTCTTATTAAGTTACAAAACTAAGTACACTAGGGTTTAATGAGTTGACATTTTTTGAAGTATCTAAATTAAAAGGTTCATTGAGTGTAGTAATGGTCCAGAGATTCCCCTTTTTTCCTGCAAATAATATGCATGTTTCCCATTCTAAAACTTCTTGTACTATTGGTTGTTAAGATCTTTCTATGTTAACACAACCAAGAGTGAGTGGCCAAGTGGTGGTTCCATCCTCCTCAATATATCTCAACTGCATGGAATGGTTCCATGAAGATATACGATTTGTACATTGACTGATTGGTCTGAGATCTTTAATTCCATAACCACACTGTCTAATCCAACCATTCTTCACAAATACAATACTTACTCTTTTAAAGAGGGTGACGAGCTCCACCGACTGACTCCCAACAGTTTTCTTCGCAAGGGGGCTCCAATTTGTCCCCTAGAGAACAGAACATCAGATCCCAGCTGTTTGGCTAGAGCCCAAATCACTGGTAATGCCCTCAGGACCATGTCGGCCCACCTATCACTCCAAAATTACACCTGTACTGATCCCCAACAACATCTAAATTTTTTCCTGAAAATGAGCTAGATTATGGGAATATCTTTCCAATCGCTAGTCACATTTTCCTTGTTCTTAAGTGGGTTCATTCTTTCTACCTATCTTGATTAATCAGAAAGGAAAATTGCTCTCCTCAATTAAAAAGAGCGAAAAGAAAAAATTCTTAGGTTGGTTAAATTTAAAGCCAACTTGGGGTGTGATTTTACATCATCTAATATTTAAATAAAAATATTGAAGCTTGCATGTTTTGTTTGTCTGCCAATAGAACTTCCATACAATACTACTTCATGAAAAATCAAGTTGTAGGGGAAAATATGAAATTTTGATGGTAGTCGGTGACATAATGGGATACTCCTTCTAAAAGGTATATTGTTCCGATTATGGAGGATTACTGTTATAGGTATTTCTTGTAAGTTCTAGTACATTCCATTATAGGAGATGGGAAATTTATTGAGTGATACAGCCAACATATAAAAGGCAACACATCGCAGTTGATTATCGGTAGTGATATTGTGGATTGCATGAGGTAGTTCTCTACCTGAGGTTCTTCTATGATGTTGCTGATCATGCTCATCACAAATGCTTTGGTTTTACAGGCGGAATTTCAAAATGTGATGGATTTTCTTGCCAGGTCTGGGAAACCTTCGTGTGTTTCTGCATCCATTGCATGGAATCCTCAAAAACCTCAATCTCAACGGGCAGCTTTTGTTCTTGGTTTCAATTCAGATTTGCCACAATTCAATTCATCTAAGGTAACATAAATTTCTACTTGCTGCTTCTAGACTTATACTTCCTGCTGCTTAAAACTTCAAATATTTTGTGTCTTTACTTATTGGCTAGGATGTAACACTTATTTCATTCTATACTAGCAGTCTAGCACATGTGGTTTTTTCTTAATATTTTAGAGATATAATTCATAATCTCTGATTCCAATATTTTATATTTTTCTTTTGTTAAAAGGCCACATTTCATCGATAAAAATATTCCCAATCATTAAATTCTGTATCAGGAAATATTTTTTTTAATTATTTTATGATTTACAGAATTTATTGACAAAATACACAAAAGTAAAAAAGCGACAAAATAGAAATTACTAAGAGATGCAAGTCATATCTCATAAATCACTGCATTTCTATTGCATCTAACACAAGACTATGTTTTTGCTACACCCTCAGTGGTTAGAGTATCTGCTTCTTCATCACCCTTAGAGTTACAAATATCTATGAAATCTCAAAGTATGGCCAACTGCCATTGGATAGTGTATTCCTTCTGGGCCCATCTGATGACTTAAAGATAATCACCCTCTAGAATAATTCGCAGGGCGTCTAAATTCTAGGTTAGGATTAGCCTGAATTACTGGTACCCAAGTAAGAGCCCATGTCGACCTCCTTGTTGGCTCCCTGCTTCCCATCTGCATTTTTCTTTAGTGTTTGATGGCTTTCCTCTTTATGAGGTGAAAGGTGCATTTGGGAAGGAAAGACAATCAAAATTTTCTCATAATATCGCGAAACCCACCAAATGTTCATGGCCTAGTTGGCATGAATTGGAAATGTGAAAGGTAGTGCAGAAACAACAATTTTTCCATGCAAAAAATGGACACACTCAAACAGTTTTGTTAGATAAATACAAACATTATTATAGAAATGTTTGATTGATGGATAATATTTTAAATAAACTCATTTTCTGGAATTATCTCTTTACTACGTAGCAGATTGGGGATAAATTTATCTCATCTTTAAGGAAATATATTCAAGTGGAAAATTATCATAAACATTTCTCGCACTATTTATGACTTTTATAATACTTTTTATCTAACTGGTTTACTTGGAAAGACCAGTTATTGTTATAATGGACATGGAATGTGACAGGCCCTCGTACCCATCCTCCGATGCCCTTGTGAGGTTCCACTTCCATACCTTTTAAAAGTTTAGTTATATGCGGTGTCTGAAAATCTGGATCAGACAGGCAAATCGGTTGTACAGGAAACTATTTCGTATTGGCGAATTGGTGATCCCCATTGGTGGATTGGCCAGTTCAGGACAATCCGGTATTAAAAAATTCAAAAAATTGCTGAAATTTCTTAAAAATCTAGTTATTTTTATGGATTTTCATTATTTTATCGATAATATGTAAATACTGAAAACTTGAAGGCTGCACAAAAAAATAGGAACAATAGATTTCCCACCCAAAAGATTTTAGTGAATAGCGGAGAAAATTTTAGCCGGTTTCATTAAGTTTTACTTAAAATTTTAGCATCATAGGCAATAAGTTTGTATAAAATTTCAGCAAAGTTTTTGGAATTTTCTTTGAATTATTGAATGGATAGAATCTCTAGGTTTGGATACTCATTCTATTTGTTGAAGTTTTGGGAAATTTCAGTAATTTTGTTCGGATACTCATTCTACGTGTTGAAGTTTTAGGAAATTTCAGTAATTTTGTTACGTGTCTAAATAGTGGAAGAAACTTCTGAATTCTCTATCTTAAATTTCTTTAATTTCTAAAAAGACAAAGTTTCTACATATTACGTCTTAGAAAGTATGAGGATCATGTATTTATTTAATATATTTAAGAAGTTAGAAAATGTATAAGACAATATATAAAACTTATACATTGTCTTACAATAAGACAACATTTTTATCAGACATCATATAGATCGGGAAGTTGGAAGTTCATGTCTTCATGGGGATGGTTGGAAGTTTATAAGTGTTGACAATGTCATTTTTAGTCCCACATCGGGATTGTTGGAAGTTCATGGGGAGGCGATGCTTATAAGTTGCAAATATGAGTCACGAGTAGTAAGCAATGAATGTTGGGCTTGTGGCTGCTCCATTGTACTGAGAGGGCGTGGACTACTCTATCAAAAATTTCAAATTAAAAGATTAGAAACAAATAAATAAATGGAAGGGAAAATGTCACTTTCATCCTCCTCACAAACCCAACTTTCTTTTTACACTTGATTGTTTTTTCCTATCTAGCGGCATGAAGATTTTATAAAGCATTTCACCTAACCCATTTCCTTACATCTTCAAGTGTTTTATCTTTATTCTTCCAAAAGTTGCCCCTGTGACCATTAAAATGTCCTCTTCTTTTTTTCTCTCTTCTACTTTCAAAACTTGTCTTCTTGCTCTTTCCTGTTAATCCTCTCAATCCCTTTCTACCCCAGAACTTCTCTTTCATTCCTTTGAACCCATAAACTATCTCTCTCATCCTTTTTAAACCCATAAACTCTCTCTCATGCCTTTTAAACCCATAAACTCTCGCTCTCATCCCTTTTAAACCCATAATCTCTCTCTCTCTCTCTCTCTCGCACTCTCTTGTTCTGCCCCCTTGAAACTTGGGTTTTTGAGAAGGTGAGCAAGCTCCTCTCTGAGCTTCTGTCTATTAAAAAGAATTTTTTCTTTGGCTTTGCTTGTTGGTAAAAAATTTGTTTTTTTTCTGTTGTTTTTGCTTGTTTGGTTTTACCTAACTCTTTATTTTGATTTATCCAGGTTGTCATAGTGAGAATATGAGCTCTATATGAGGAGAAGGCTAAAATTAAAGAAATTAGGTATTGATAAGATGAGAGAATTGGGGTATTTAATCGATCAATTTGTTGGAAGTAGTGAGAAAAGATATGACAACTTATGGCCTCATTGGAAGTAGTGAGAAAAGATATGACAACTTATGGCCCCAAATAGTTGCGAAAAGGCTTTGATGATGATAATGATGAATCGATCAATAGCTGCGAAAAGGCTCTGATGATGAATCGATCAATTTGGAGAAGGTTGAAATAGAATTTCAATGAACTGAATTTGGGTTTTGGAGAAGATTGATTAGAACTGTCCGTGAAGCTGAGTGCTAAATCAATGTAAAAATAGAGAAAGAGATGTAGCAATTATGCTTTTGGTTTGCTTTTTGGGATTTAGCGAGAGAGAGAGAGAGAGAGAGAGAGAGAGAGAGAGAGAGTAGTTAGTTT